AGTGTTGTACCTTATGATCCTTGACAAATGTATCTTTTCTTTTATGTACACTGATAGCATATGCATCAAAGACAAATTCCTTGTGTGTCCAATCACACTTGGCCAATAAAGAATTCTATTCTATTCTATTCTATTCTATTCTATTCTATTCTATTCTATCTATTCTATTCTATTCTATTCTATTCTATTCTATTCTATTCTATTCTATATTGAGGCAAAATGAATCACAAAAACAGATCTAGTCTTTCAGTGAAATATGAATCTGTCTAAAATGGAACATAAATACTGTATATGTTCAGACTAAAAAGACTGTGTTTCTAATGCCTGCCAACAAATACATCGTTTCTGTCACTTATTGTAGCTTCACCAACAGAAGAGGAAAAAAGGGGCTTGAAGAAACCTAGTCCAATCTTCTAAAGCAGGAGATTGTACCATTCTGGATAAATGTCTATCCATTGTGGACAAAGTTAGAAGAGATCTTAAGCCATTTTGGGATTATAATCCTTTCTTGGAACTGCCTGTTAAAAATCTCTTGGAAGCTTTAACTGGTTCAGGGTTCAGTTCCTAAATATTTTTGCCTAGAACTGCAAGGATCTATTATATCCTGTGACATTTGTGCAACTTGCTGATACCAAGAACTGCTGATTTATTCTATGCTTGCTGACTTTTTCATTACCACATCACATTTTCTCCATCTTTAACAAACTTCTCAAGATACTTTTCAGATGGATGAAAGGAAACAAGTTGTAGTTTAATTCAGATTAAGAGGAGTAGTTAGGATGTTTACTGACATGGATGAAAAAGTGAAATTGTTGTTGAACGTGATTGCATCCAGGAAGACAAAATGTGCTGCTTGATGCTACAATGTATCAAGTGATCATGGATAGGACATAGGGCCATCTATGAACGCTTCACAAATATCAGTTGTCAAAGGTGCTTTTATTAGCAATGCTCATATCCAGAGAGGGGAGATCTTAGACCAGTGATGGCTAACCTTTTTGCCATCGCGTGCCAGGAGAGGGGTGGGGGAGGGTCGCACGCGCATGTGCCCACGCGCATGTGTGCGCAACCCCCCCCGCTCCTGACACATGATGGCCTGGTAGGCCCGTTTTTCTTTCTTACCTGGTTCCAGATCCTCTCTGTGTATCTGGGAACGGTGAAAACAGCCTTTCCCACTCCCTTGGAGGCCCTACGGAAGCTGAAAAAGCCCATTTCCCAACTCCCGGTGGGACAGGAAGTGACATTTTTTGCTGTCCCCAGCCTCCAGAACCTCTCTAGGAGTCTGTAGGAGCCTCTCTAGGAGGAGCCTCTCTGTAGGAGCCTCTCTAGGAGTCTCTGGAGGCTGGGGACAGGAAAAAACATCACTTCCTGTCCCACCGGGAGTGGAGAAATGGGCCCTTTGAGCCTCCGTAGGGCCTCCAAGGAAGTGGGGAAGGCTGTTTTCACCGTTCCCAGATACACAGAGAGGATCTGGAGCCAGGTAAGAAAAAAAAAAACGGGCCTTCCCCACCCCCCCAGGCCCTCTGGAGGAGGCAGGAAACAGAAGGCCCGAAAATCAGCTGGCCGGTGCGCGCATGCGCCCCAGAGCTGAGCTGGCGTGCCCACTAATATGGCTCTGCGTGCCACCTGTGGCACGCGTGCCATAGGTTCGCCATCACGGTCTTAGACCATTTTGTGATTCTAATCCTTTCACGGAGTTGCCTATTAAAAATGTCTTGGAAACTTTAACTCATTCAGGATTCAGTTCCTAGATGTTTGCAAGAACTAGATAAACAGAGCATGAAATTGAGTGTAGGCATTCATCTCTAATGTCCAAAATGGCTTAGAATAAACTAATCCAGCTAGGTAGGAATCTTTTATGCATTAGAACAGTTGTCAGCTTCAGAGTAAGATTTGTTAGTAATGGACAAAAAGAAAGTTTATTTTCAGATGGTTGCTCCATATTTGCAAGTCCTACCATAGGTTTTATATCTATCTATATTTCTATCTCTATATCTCTATATCTCTATATCTCTATATCTCTATATCTCTATATCTATCTATCTATCTATCTATCTATCTATCTATCTATCTATCTATCTTCCTGACTGACTGACTCTTTTTAAGTTGGTTTTAGGAGTATGCTAAATATTTCAAGCTTAGAAAAGAATCTAGTTTAAAATAGGTTGTTCCAATTTTACAAGATTGTTCTGACCATCTCTTAAGTGTTTTGAACTCAAAATGAAGTCATTTGAAACTCAGAACACTTCTATAATGAGAGTAGTATTGGGACTCTCCTGGCAAGATTGGGGCAGCTGTTTAGAATTCAAAACAAGCCCCCACCTGAGTTTCTAGAAAGATGTTGACAATCAGAGTAGACCATCATGAGCTACTCTATATAAACAATTTTTCCTAGCAAAAGGTGACCTCCTTTGTGTCCTATTCTAGATCTGATAGAAGTATCAGATGTCATTTTACACTTATCATCCAATATTAGGATTTAGGACAATGTTCCTTTTACCATCTCAAATGTATTGTTTTGATAGGAGCCAAATAAGAAGCTAATGCTATCTGCAGAGACTTCTGATTAGCATGTCAACATATCTTATCTTATGGTGCTATCCAGTTTGGAACAAATACTTTAATATGGTCCCATCATATATTCCTGGAAATATACAGAAACAGATTTTCTGAGAGCTCGAAGAGCGCCTTAGATCTTTTTGCAGATACAGAGTAAAGACCTAAGTTTTTCCTTTTGATTTTTTTCATGAGAAAGGTAAATAGATTTAACAGTAAGATGTATTTTTCTTAATGAAATACCAGGTTCAGGAAAATTCCATGTGCTCAAAAATATGCCCTGATTTTAAAAAGCTCATTTAAACAGTCAGTGATAAAACAAACAAACAAACTTGTATGCAGACAAATAGAAATTTGAGCCTGAATTTAAGGCAGACTGACTGCGAAAAGGAAATGATAGCGAAAAAAGATATCTGGAGAAGCAAAATTATAATTTCACAGTCACAACTATTATTCTGTAAAAAACTTGATCACTTGTATCCCTCCTCAGGAATGATTAAGGGTCAAAGACTTGATTTTCTCCTTGCAATAGGCTCAATAATGCTACTGAATTATTCCAGTCACATTGGCTGCTCAAATAAAAAGGTATATGAAGCTGCAAGCAAGAACCTGTTCGGAATGAAGAATTTTGCACAATCTCTCTCTCTCCCCCCCCTTTCCTCCCTCCCTCCCTCTTTCCTTCCCCCCTCTTTCTCTCCCTCCCTCCCTCCTTCTCTCCCTCTCTCCCTCCCCTTTCTTTCTCCCTCCCTCTTTCCCTTCCCCTTTCCCTCTTTCCCTCTCTCCCTCCCTCTTCCTCCCTCCCTCTTTCCCTCCCTCCCTCTTTTCCTCTCTCCCTCCCTCTCTCCCTCCCTCTTTCCCTCCCCCCTTTCTCTCTCTCCATCCCTCTTTCCCTCCCCCTCTCCCTCTTTCTCTCTCTCCCTCCCTCTCTTTCCCTCCCTCCCTCTTTCCCTCTTTTCCTCCCTCTTTTCCTCTCTCCCCCTCTCTCTCGTCTGTTGACTCTTTAGTACAGCTGCAGTGCTGGCTCTGTATGAGCACATTTTCAATAGCATCATGGAAAAATTAAAGAGGTAAAACAGTAGTAGATCTCCTTTTTTTCTTCATCTCCTTTTAAATGAAAATTTAATTATTCACCTTGTTTATGGATATATTAAAACACATCTTGGGAAATGATTCATCCATCTATTGACAGCAGGCAAATTATGAGAAACAGTCACACTTGCTGGGGTGTGACAAAATGAAGTTTTTAAATATTTAGAACCTCAGCTGGGGGAAAGAAAAAGAGAGACTCTTAAAAAGAAAAAGGATAAAGGCAAGACACAACAGGGGAACAAGCGAGAGTATCTGTGTCAACATGTCAATTGGATGGAGGTAGTAAGTATCTCATTATCTGAAAGAAGCTGGACACAAATACAATCAGACAATAAAGCAATAATCTGAGAAAATCACCACAGCTGAGGATGAAAGGGGAAACTAAAAATTTAACTCAATATTGCTGGTTTGGCCATAAAACCATGTTAGTTTACAAATCTCTCTCATTTAAACTCAGTTTTACATAATTATACAAATATGACAGACAGACAGATAGACAGACAGACAGACAGACAATTTCCCATTTCAAACAAGTTTTTTATGACCAGCAACATTCCTACCACTATGACGGGTACCTTCTTCCATTAGTGATTGATTTCTGATACTAAGATGATAGTGAAAATGGTGGGATTTATCAGGGATTTATCAGTGTTCACCCTCTAGTTCAGTATTTCTCAACATTGGTCACCAGCTGGCTGGCTGGGAAATTCTGAGAACTGTTATCTACACAACTTAAAGTTGCTTTGCTTGATATACACTGCTCCAGTCTAGAATTATGTACCATACCATAGTCAACAGAGGCATTGAGGAAACTCAAACCATGGACCAGAGGACAGTTTTTTGCAGTTGATCCCTAGCACGTCATACCTAAGGAATGGAGGTTGTGATTAGGAACCACTTCAGCAATCAAGTTGAGCTATTAGTGATAGACCTATCCTCTATCAATTTATCTAGTCCACATTTAAAGTGATCATCTAAGCTGGCAGCTATCATTACACTGAATGAGAGCAATAAATGCTAAACATTATACTCTTTTTTTAAAAAAAATACTAACTCATACAGCAACGACATATATCCATGCACATATATTAATAACTTTATGAGTATATATCTGAGCACAATGATCGATCCAAGATTCCATTATGTATGTTTACAAACATTTGTAAATCACAGCATGGGCAAAAGCTGGAATGCAGATAGACAAAGGTCTTGGCTATCTTGTGATTCTGAAGAATGAGTTTTTTTCCATTATATTCAAGGTTTTTCAAAATAAAGGATGACATAGATATTCATAAAATTGCAAGGGACACTTTTTGCATCTTTTTTTTTTTTTAAACTTATCTAAACATACTTGCCTCACAGGGAGAATTCTTCATTGGAGCTGGAAATACAGCACTAGTCACCATAACTGTCTCTGCATTGGGACTCTCACTGGTGTTAAGCAAAAGGGCACATTCTGCGGAGAAAAAGGGACGAAAGATACATACATTATTAGAGGGAAATTAGTTAATGTTTTCATGGAACATTTGTATAGCAACGCAATCCGCTAGGTTCTCTGTGTTTCAAGAGCTGTGGAATCACCCTTCATGCACATGTAAATCACAGGTGGTCTTATATCATGCTAGACATTTTCAACATTCTTTAGATGTAATAATGCAATTTCATTTATTTTCCAAGATCTCTCTTTCAATCACATGCAATGTATAGCCTTGTGATTTGTATCAAAAGGCATCTATTTTTTATGATTCTGAATGAATCATAAAGTGAACTGTTATGTATTGATACTTTTAAGCGGGAGTTTCAAACCTGCCTATGTTTCTGATTGGCTGACAGTCCCTCCAGGATTGTATATAAGGAGGGCTGCAGCCTCTGAGTTTTTGCTGAAGTCTCACTGTAAATTAAAGAGCTGTTGTCACTTGCTTGGTTGTGCCTCTCGTTATTCCCGAACCACTTCATTGGCAACGAAGGTGGGATTGAGGTCACAAGAAGCGAACCAGTGAGACCACGAGCTTCAGCTAGGCGACGAGGCGAACTACAGGAGGCATACCGAACATGTCTGCCTACGTTCCGCCCAAGCCTTTTGATCCGACCTGCGAAAAATGGGTCTCGTACCTGACGAGGTTCGAATGCTCGCTCGAAGCCAGCGACATGCAAGGGCTCTCCGCTAATCGGAAGAGGGCCCTCTTCCTAAGCCACTGCGGACCGGACGTGTTCGAGATGGCAGAGTCACTGTGTGAGCCAACACCGGTCCAGACCGTCTCCTGGGACACCCTGATGGCCACGCTCTGGGCTCACTATGCTCCCGTGCCCTCCAAGTTCGTGCAATGATACCAACTCAGACAGCGTGTTCAGCGAGAGGGAGAACCGGTCAGCGCATACATGGCCAGCCTGAGAAAAGCCGCAACCCATTGCGACTATAGAGACTTGGACGATGCGTTGCTTGAGCAACTTATCTGTGGTGTTCGGGACATTAGGCTGCAACGGCGCCTGCTCGCCAAGCCTGATTTGACGCTTGCTGGAGCCCTAGACGAGGCCAGGGCTCATGAAGCCTCCACAAAAGCCGCAGAAATGCTGCAGCGTCCGCTGACCAGCAAAGACAACCCCAAGTCTGCCCCGGTGCACAGAGAAGACGCCGGATCCAGCTCGGAGTCTGAGTCGGATGAGGACATCTTCTGAACGGAGCACCAGAGAAAAGGCACAGGCAGCCCACGGCGAAGCTGCCCCAGCTGTGGAGGGCACCATGATAGACTGTCCTGCAAATACAGGGAGGCTATCTGCAGGCGTTGTGAGAAAAAAGGGCACTTGGCGCGAGTCTGTAGAGCCATTCTGCCCAGAAAACACCAACCACGTGAGCGCCGCAGCCAACCAGAATCAACGTGCCAGAAACAACCAACGAGAGAAGGCGGCGCGAAAAAACGGCGCGAATTTGAACCGCGAGATGGCCGCAGCATTCACATAGAGCAGGCCAGCACGGAAATCGAGGACAAAGTCAGCACGGTGGTCGAAATCAACGGCAAGCCATGCTCGATGGAGATCGACACTGGATCAGCTCTCTCCATAATGTCATGGGCGACCCTAAAGACCCTCCTGCCATTGTTCCGGAAGGACCACCTCTCCAAACAGAGACTGCGCATCCTAGACTACCAGGGGAACCGAGTCCCCCTCGAGGGCGTGGGCACGTTCCGAGTCACCTACGGAGACTACGAAAGAGACCTGCCGCTGACCATCGTCACAAAGCAGCTTCCCAGCCTTCTCGGCATGGGGTGGTTCCGAGCCCTCAGCATGGGCTTCACCGGCGTCCACCAGATGCTCAAGTCATCGTTAAAAGACAGTCTCCTGACCGAGTTCCAGGACGTTTTCGGGGACACGTTGGGCAAGTATGTGGGGACCCCTATCTCTCTTAATCTAGACCCCAACATAGCCCAAATAAGACTCAAGGCGAGACGGGTGCCCTTTGCATTGAAACCAAAAATCGATGCGGAACTGGACAAATTAATTAAACAAGGGATCTTGGTTCCCGTTGACCACGCAAAATGGGAAACCCCCATAGTGACCCCAGTTAAGTCGGACGGCTCAATTAGAATTTGTGCCGACTACAAGTGCACGATCAACAAGGCTTTGCAGCCGAGCGCCTATCCTGTGCCGATCGTGCATCATCTACTACACTCCCTGGGGCCCGGAAAAATTTTCGCCAAACTAGACCTGGCCCAGGCCTATCAACAACTTCCTGTCGACGATGCCACGGCTGAGGCACAGACAATAGTAACACATAGGGGTGCATTTAAATGCACCAGGCTCCAGTTTGGGGTAAGCGTCGCACCCGGCCTATTTCAAAGCACATGGAGCGCCTGTTGCAAGGACTTCCCGGGGTGGTGCCATATTTCGATGACGTCCTAGTCAGTGCTCAGGACGAACAACAACTAGGGGACAGAGTTAGAAACGTCCTGTTCAGATTCAGGGAAGCGGGACTCAAATTAAAAAAAAACAAGTTTATGATAGCAGTCCCCTCCGTTGAATTTTTGGGGTACAGGGTGGACGGCACAGGCATCCACCCCACCGAAAGCAAGGTGAGAGCTATTAAGAGCGCACCTGCCCCCAAGTCCAAAGCAGAGCTCCAAGCCTTCCTTGGACTGCTCAATTTTTACTCAATGTTCCTGAAAGACAAGTCTACCATCGCAGATCCCCTACACAAGCTATTGGGGAAGAATGTACCATGGGTCTGGGGGAAACCACAAGCTGCCGCTTTTGAGGCAGTAAAGAGACTTCTATCGGAAGACAGTTTCCTAATCCAATACAACGCGGCGCTACCGCTTGTATTGGTTTGTGACGCCTCCCCCATAGGAGTTGGTGCCGTCCTAGGCCATAGACTGCCGAACGGCCTAGAGGCGCCCATTGCGTTTTACTCTCGCACTCTGTCAAGCGCAGAGCGGAACTATAGTCAATTGGACAGAGAGGCTCTGGCTGCAATTGCGGGGGTTAAAAAGTTCCACGAATACCTCTATGGCCGGCAATTCGAGCTTGTGACTGATCACCGGCCCTTGCTAGGACTTTTGGCAGGCGACAGGCCCACCCCCGCTGCTCTTTCCCCACGTTTGACTAGATGGGCTATTTTTCTTTCGGCCTACTCATATCAGCTTGTACATCGACCCGGACGGACCCTGGGTCACGCGGATGCCCTCAGCTGCTGCCCCCTACCTGACTTACTGACCAATCCAACACCAGAGGCCTCTGTCCTTCTACTGGACACATTAACTTTGGGACCTATTTCCTCTGCCGAAGTGGCAAAAGCCTCAGCCAGGGACCCGATCATTCGCACTGTGATGGGGTGGGTGCTAAAAGGGTGGCCGGTCAAGGTGGATGGGGGGGACTACCAAGGTTTTGTAAACAAACGAAACGAACTGTTTACGCAAGGTGGTTGTTTGTTGTGGGGAGACAGGGTGGTAGTGCCACCGAAACTTCGAACAAGGGTCTTAGAATTGCTGCACGAAGGGCATCCGGGCATTGTCAGAATGAAAAGTTTAGCCCGCAGTTATGTTTGGTGGCCCAACATGGACCAAGTTATCTCCGAGTGGGTGGGGAAGTGCAGACCCTGCCAGGAGTCTCGCGAGAGTGGGAGAAACCAAAAGGGCCATGGGGGAGGATACATATTGATTTCGCTGGCCCCTTCCATGGGCAAACATTTTTAATTGTAGTTGATGCCTTTTCGAAATGGCTCGAAATAATTCTAATGCCCTCTACCACAGCCGAGGCAGTCATTAAAGCCCTTCGCAAGCTATTTGCCACACATGGCCTACCGGATACTCTAGTATCTGACAACGGCCCTCAATTCATAGCAACCCTGTTCGAGGGTTACTTGGCCGGACTGGGCATCCGCCATGCCCTATCGGCCCCGTTCCACCCGGCTTCTAACGGATTGGCCGAACGTTTTGTAAGAATGGCCAAAGAGGCCCTATCCAGACTAGATAACGGGGACTGGCAGGCCAGGATAGACCAATTCTTAGCTGTCCAGCATGCCACACCATGCACGGCCACAGGGAGAAGCCCAGCAGAGCTCCTCATGGGCAGGAAGCTTCGGTGCGTGTTAGATAGGCTTCACCCTAACTACTCGCACGAACATTTCAAGGGAGAGACCTCTGGACTAAGACAGTTTCAGGTTGGGTCCCCGGTGTTCGCTCGCAACTATGCCAGCGGACCTCTATGGGTTGCAGGAACCATAGTGGGCATAACAGGCCCGAAATCTTATACGGTAGACGTAGGGGTAGACAGACTCTGGAAGCGCCACATAGACCAACTGAGAAAAAGGGTAGTCGGCGAAGCAAACATCAATTTAGACATCTCCGAGCCTAACTATAACAACTTTCCCAAAACAGCTAACTCAAGCCCGGGTTTGCGAGAATACTTAGCTGACAAGCCCTGGTTCCAGCGCTGCCCCAGCGAGTCGCCACTCCCAACCGGGGATAACCACGCCCCGGACAAAATCCAGGAGGTTCCATTGGCAGAGCCGGGAGAGACAGAAAGTCCCTCCGACCAGCTCGACGCCCCACCAAACACTGAACTGCGCAGGTCAACTAGGACGAGAACTCGGCCTGGACACCTGCGAGATTTTGTGTGTACTTATGTAAATATTTGAATGTTAGTGCCTTCTGGGAAGGGAGGGGTGTTATGTATTGATACTTTTAAGCGGGAGTTTCAAACCTGCCTATATTGGCTGACAGTCCCTCCAGGATTGTATATAAGGAGGGCTGCAGCCTCTGAGTTTTTGCTGAAGTCTCACTGTAAATTAAAGAGCTGTTGTCACTTGCTTGGTTGTGCCTCTCGTTATTCCCGAACCACTTCATGAACTATTTCTACTATAAACGAGGAAGAAATGCTTATCTCACCAAAGCTAGAAGCCGAGGGTCATTTCTATATTTATAAAGCATTCATTTTCAACAGGGCAGACTCAAGATCTGTTAAACTTCAGTTAATTGGTGGGGTGGATTATGATAAGAATAGTAGTCTAGCATATCTGGAGGGTACCTGGTTGGGAGAAAGCACTAAAAGAATGGTAATTCAATGCTCTCAGTTACTGAATGTTGAAAATTAACAACCTTTTTTCCTCCAGTTATTTAATATCATTGACTAGTTTAAAAAAGTACAGGTAGACCTTGAGTTAAAATTGTAATGGAGTTGGTTTGAGAGTCCCTTGGGTACCTGAGTGATTGGGTTGGGTGGGAGAACTAGATCATAAGGGTAAATGGCTACGGGGTGCTGCAGCAGCCATAACGTTGAAACTGGGTTGTAAGTAACTTTTGGGGATGTCTGTTGTAACTTTGAACAGTTGCTATACGATCAGTCATAAGTTGAGGACTACCTGCAGTGACACTTTTGATCTCAATTTTTGAAGACCGCATCTACTGTATTCAGTTTTCCTTGCAGGTTACAGAAATGGTTCACTTTTATTTTAGTTCTTTATTTATTTAGAGTTCCCAATCTGGAATAGTCCTGGAATTCCCAGCTAATGCCTTCTCCAAGTACTAACCAGGGACAAGCCTGCTTAGGTTTAGCAATCAAGGCATTGCTTCTGCTGGTGTACGTCATTAATAACCAAATTAAGAGTTGCCAATCTACCAAAACTACTAATCTCAAACAAGAGGATTTTCTATGAGTCCTATTTAGTTCTTTTTTTAAAAAAAAAATCATACATTTCTGTTGCATATGGAGTCTACTTACTAATGCTGTATCAGAAAAGTATTTTCTGGTTTCTCACAAAATATTCTTCTTGTTGTAAAAACAACAACAAAATACCCCCAACTATCAAAGTAAATGATAATGGTTGAAAAAAAATCAAGAATTCCCATCGCATCATAATTCCTTTGACATACCGCTTCATTTACCCAGCTGTATAACATTACTGTAATCTACCTTTCAGTGAACAAAAGTGTTGATATTCTGGATTCCCAATATGCCACAGTTGGGCCTTTGATGAAGTTGATGAGCTCTGAGTCCAGCCACACTCTCCATCCTCAAAGGAGCAATAGAAACCAGTAGGGAGGTTTTCTGCATGGGGAAGGAATGGCAAGAGATAGAGAACCGATCAATAATTCCTAAGAACAAAGTAGAAAGTATATTCAGTATTTGTTTTTCGAAGCTCTGACTTTTCTCTTTGGTTCTTGCAAAGAGAATAAAGAGGATAGAGGAAGGAAGAGGAAGGAAAAAAGGAAAGAAAGAAGAGGGAGGGAGGGAGGGTTTCTGACCCTCACTGACAGCTTCCCACCATGAAACTCAATGAAAGTTAGAAAGTTAGAAGTCACATCTGCTACCACTGATCTTTTGGCCACCCATGGTCAGTCTGAATGTTTCTGAAACATATGAGTGGTTTAGTATACAATAATTTCCCTAAAGATGGAAAGCATATTTCAGATTTTGGCAACACAAAAATAGATAAATAAATAATAAACCTACACAAACATTTTCACCCACTCTCTCCATGGTTGAGACTAAGCATCAAACATTATCAAAGCAATTGGTACACGTAGTGCTGGTTTACAATTCCTATCATTCTTGAATATTGGCATTTTGGCCATGCTGGCTGAGGAAGATGAAAGTTGCAGTCCCACAATTACTGGAGATCAAAGGAAACAAATCATGACCTTATGGGAACTGTGTAAAATAGGATCAGGATTATTTTCAGATTTCAACATGTATATATGGGTGCGGCCTAAAAATAGTTCTTTTTCTAAGGCTACCACATGAACTGATGAAGAAGTTTGGATTGGCAATACATAGTTCATATATTTTATGGTCTTAATTATAATGTATCATCAGTCATTAACTATATCTTCAGGTTCAACTTTCAAATAATTCCTTAACTTCAGTTGTTATATTAATTAAACAATCAGTAGCAATAAGCTGCATTAGTAAAAATAGGAAAATTAGAATTTTCCTTTAATTTTCTAGTTTTTTCTTTTTACCGAAGAGGTACCTTTAATGTAGATTGCATTTGATAAGACTTTGTAGATAACTAAGATGAGTCTGTGAATTTTAAGTGAATCATTTGCCAGAGGGATCAAAGAAGGACCAGATCTACAAGGACTGCTTTTTTAGTTATAATGTAGACACCTCCCCCCCCCAATTACTGCTAAATTTAACTTGTGCAATCATTTCTTACACACTGCATCTTAATTTGACTTGAACATTTTGGAAATTTTCCAGTTAAAATTCATATTTATTCAGTAACAATTTTCTGTCTTAAGAAAGTTTTTGTGCCTAAAAGATGAATTTATAACCTACTGCATTCCAAACAATAACTGAATCAACATTAACGTTAATGTGCATATAGGGGACAGTAGTTCTGCAGAACTCTTTTTGTCCATTCTTATTTTATTTTGTTCTTTTTATTCCTAGTAAGGTGTTGCTAAAATAAAAACAACATTCCAGCTTGCCCTTTTCTTAAACTTCATAGTGGACAACCAGATTTCAAAAACTCATTCACCTGCAAAAACATGATACATTGTTTATATACTTAAAACATTTATTTTTTGATTTAATACCAAGATGCCCAAGGCCAATTCTATAGAGGAAGAAAATGTACCAACTAAAATGCTAGTGTGAGGTTGTTGTTATTTCATTTTTTCCACTTTGAAGACACTGATAGAAATAAAGCATATGTCAAAATTCTATAATGCTACAATAGCCATGTATTAAATGGTACATACAGACATAAAAATAAAGGAGTTTTACCTTACTGTTCCTCCATTTATCTACAGGTATGGATGGGTTTGGCTATTTCCAGTTTGTACCTATTAATTTATTATATATTGTTTTTAAATTTTAAATGAACATTTTAAATTTATGTACGTATTTCAGAAATGTATCTTTCTGCTTTGAGAGTTTAAGGGAACATGGATTATATATACCATTCTGATATGAACTCTGAAGGATGACTGTTATAGTCCATACATCATCTGGGAGATTCGGTTTAGATTAGCAATACACTTCCAAATGCAAGCCAAACAAAACATACACTCATCCATCTATCCCAACTTCTCAGGGCAAAGCTTAATAAATAGGTGTCATATAGTTTAAGCTAGACTTTTGTTACTGCTGAGCCATAGACACAAATCTCTTGAACAATTGTTCAGCGGAGGCAAGTAATCTGCATATATAAGACATATACATACACATGATCTTTGTCATAAAACTAAATGAAGATATCAATCGTGTTAAACACTCCCAGGAGCACAGAACCCCGGGAAATGGCAGATATTTATGATTTGGAGCATGATTGTTTCCACTGCTGTACACTAACCTGAACATTTTTTAAAGCAAATAAATAATCACAGTTAAACCATCATTTGCGGTGATGACAGTGAATACTAATCCAACTATTTTATAGTAAAAACATAGGAAGTGACTTTACACTAAATCTCCCTAGTGCTGATTGGTTTTCAAGTTGCAGTTTTCCAGCCTGCCTTACTGTACCTATTTACAGGGGTGAAATCCAGCAGGTTCTAACAGGTTCTGGAGAACCGGTAGCGGAAATTGTGAGCAGTTCAGAGAACCGGTAGCGGAAATTTTGAGTAGTTCAGAGAACTGGCAAATACCACCTCTGGCTGGCCCCAGAGTGGGGAGGGAATGGAGATTTTGCAGTATCCTTCCCCTGCCACGCCCACCAAGCCACGCCATGCCACCAAGCCACACCCACCAAGCCACGCCATGCCACCAAGCCACGCCCACCAAGCCACGCCGACAGAACCGGTAGTAAAAAAAATTGGATTTCACCACGGCTATATTACTATACTTCTTTTCATCAGTACTGAACGTGATGATCATACAAACTTACTCTGTGATACCAAGTGTTGTTCTTCAAGAGGTACCATGACATTGGCTGTATGATATGCTCTGCAACTGACTGAGGTCATGTAGCCAGCAGACAAAAGGGGGGACTGCTCATTTATGACAGAGACAACGTGAGGATTACATCCCCTCTACCCTTTTCTGCCCCCTTTGGGGCTATGTTTTGGAAAAATTCAGAAAAATATTTGATTATAAAATTCTACCAATTTCTCCCTTTTAAACAGAATGCCACATTCATTGTTCTTTAATTGAATTCCATTCTTCAAATCAGCAGGAGACTCTGATGCAGCCTCAGGCTAAATCAGAATAGACTGTCAAACTAGATGCACCTTGAATTCTTCTTGAAACAGCCCTGCTTGCCATTCAGTTTAATTCACTTTGTTGCCAAAGTATAGTATATAGAATGGTGTAATGAAGTAGAACATTTGAGGGAAATGTCTAAGCATTAAATACTGCCTAGGGTCTAGAATATCGGGGAAAATGACAGGGAAACTGAGTGTTGAACTATAAATGAAGATGTATTAGCAGCACGACTGCTAGCCCAGACTTCTGTTTCTCATAAATGTAACTTTATGAAACTCTGATTGTTTGGTGCTAAGAAAACACAGACTTCTTCATTTACTGTAATGTTTCCTGTATGTAGTGAACTACTGACAACCATTTACCCCAGTTCCATGGCAAGATTTAACATATCTAACTTGTGTGTTAGGCAAAATTGCCATGATTATTTTTCAGTTTGCACAGATCAGACTTTAATAAGTGTAATTGAAAGGAGGAAAAGATTTGCACAGATCTCATGTGCTCCAAGTATCTTTCTGAGGTTCTCATTTGTAGATTTAGGTGGCTTCATATACCGAAGCAGACCTGTCAAATGCATTATGATAAACCAAACGCCGTGGATATAATATACCTTCTCAGACAAGAATTAAGTTCTCCTTGCCAGTATATTGTTAAATTCATTCTGGAATATGGTGAATAACATTTTAATCAATAAACCCACCACGAATCTATTGAATCATAACTGATGGCTCATCACTCCTTGCTTTTTTTTTTTTTTAGTTAAAAGGTTTCTATATAATTTTAAATAAAAAAGAGATTGTTGTTATATAATAATACAACATATTTCTCCTCAAAAAACTATAATTGGATAATAATTTAAAATATTCCTCAGTAACGTAATGATTAAAATGAGCAACTCTTTCTCATTTGCCCTTTCTCCATAGTCTCCAAACAGCTGCATATGATTCTTCTTGAAATTTATCCACATAAAACCTTTTTAGTTAGGTTAAACCAATGTCATTCAATGAGTTTCATGAGTGAGTGGAAATGTCAATCTACTTCCCCTTGACCGTCTGTCAGGTTTCGATGCTATCTCAAAATAAATGAATTTCCAAACTGCCGATCTTTGAGGAAATTTTCTCTTTATTGAGCATAGTGATCTGTCCTTAGCTCTTTCGCAGTCAGCACTGACCTTTGCCCCCCAAGCCCTCCCTTTCCGATCCCCAATTCTCTGCATCTCATTGGCTATCTTCCAAGCCACTTTCGTCATCCCATCTCCGTCAGATCACAGGAATGTCCCTCCTCCTCCCATCTCTGAGGAAACAGAATCTTCAAAGGAATTAAGTAGGCAAAAGTTCAAGCTTCTCCTCTCTTTTCATATGTCAGCACTGGAATGCTGACAATTACATTGTAACAATCATTGACTATCAAGCTCTATGTAATCATAGAGCTAGGGGCTTCCTGGCTATATTTGAATATTATACCATCATTTTTCCCTTCCTATCCTCCCTGCCATAGCCAATGACTGCAAATATACATGTCTAATAGCAGAATAACAGAATAATAATGTTGGAAGGGACCTTGGAGGTATTCTAGTCCAAACCCCTGCTCAAGAAGAAGACCCTATATCATTTCAGATAAAATGGTTGCCCAATCTCTTCTTAACAACCTTCAGTGATGGAGCATCCACAACTTCTGTAGGTAAGTCGTTTCACCAATTTAATTGTCCTAACTATCAGGAAATTTCTCCTTAGTTCTAGATTGCTTCTCTCCTTGATTAGTTTCCATCCACTGCTTCTTGTCCTGCCTTCAGATGCTTTGGAGAATAGGTTGACCCCTTCTTTTTTGTGGTAGCCCCTTAGACATTGGAACTCTGCTATCATGTCACCCCTATTCCTTTTTTCATTAAACTAAACATACCCAATTCCTGCAACTGTTCTTTGTATATCCTAGTCTCCTAATCATCTTTGTTGCTCTTCTCTGCACTCTTTCTAGAGTCTCAACATCATATATATATATATAGATAGATAGATAGATAGATAGATAGATAGATAGATAGATAGATATAGATATAGATATAGATATAGATATAGATATAGATATAGATATAGATATAGATGATATAGATAGATAGATAGATAGATAGATAGATAGATAGATAGATAGATAGATAGATAATATATATATAGATATATAGATATATAATATAGATATATAGATAGATGGATAGATAGATAGATAGATAGATAGATAGATAGATAGATAGATAGATATCTCATGATGATCAAAACTGGATGCAATATTCCAAGCCTGGTCTTACAAGGCATTATAAAGTAGTATTAACACTTCATGTGATCTTGATTCTATCCCTCTGTCAATGCAGCCTAGGGCTGTGTTGGCTTTTTTTTGGCAGTGCAGCACTCTGCTGGCTCATATTTAAATGATTTCTCACTAGGACTCCAAGACTCTCACAGTTACTACTATTGATCAAGGTACTAACTATTCCATACTTGTGCATTTGTTTTTTCTTGCCTAAATCTAGAACCTTACTTTTCTCATCATTGAATTTCATTTTGTTAATTAGGACCAAGTGTTCATAGATCCTTCTGTACCTTAAGTCTAACTTCAAGATCCTTCTGTACCTTAAGTCTAACTACTGGAGTGTTGGCTATTCCTGCCAGCTTGGTGTTGCCTACAAATTTGATGAGTTCTGTTTCTATCCCATGACCTAAATCACTGATGAAGATATTGAAAAATACTGGTTCTAAGACAGAGACTTGGGATACCCCTCTGTATACTTATTATGTGTGGGTAATCTATAGTTAGATACACAGTCTAAGACTAATAGAAACTTAATAATTCAAGTTATTATTATTATTATAAATTTGTATGCCACCTAACTCCTGATGACTCTGGATACCATGTGCATGCTTGCCATTGTAAAATAATTGCAAACACCTAATCTTATCTTCTATGCATACCAAGATGTAATTATCTCTTTGAAGATTGAAAAACAATAGACTGGAATCAAATTTTCCAACTTCATTATAGCTTCTATAATGATATATCATTCTATTCATATAAATATTTATACCCCTTATTTCTATTTGAAAGTATGATCAAGTTGACTAAGAATACTCCAACAATACAAAACCAAGATCAAATAGAATTAAAATTTACTAACCATATATTAAGATTAACTTCATAGTAACAAGAATAGGTTGCTCTGTTCATAATATAATTTCTATACCTTTTTCTTTTTTGTATTGCTGTGTTTATTTGTTTCGAGGTTCTGTTGACTTTTTAATTCTGTTGTATGTATTTGTATATGTTGATTAGTTTCCCTCAATAAAATATATTAAAATGGAGTAAACTGCTTTCCTTAGCTGTTAACACACAAGACCTGTCTTTTTGCACTGTTGGAACACTGTTTTGGTATGAAATGAGGCTATCTAGTAAGTCAAAGTGGCATTTCTATAGGGAGAAAGAATATATTCAGCATGCCTAGCCATTCAGAAATGACTGTGCAGGTAACTTCTCAATTTATAGACAGCTATTTAGTAGTTTATGAAGGAAGAGTGCTGTAACATTATAAAAATTATCTCCTACTGTTTCCTTTGTGGGTAATTTGGGCTGAATCACACCTACCAGCACATTTCAAATAAACTGCCCCCTTTTCATCACAAAAAAACCCTCAATAGAATTCTCAAGACATTACAGTTACTCGCTCATGTTTCATCTAAAATGCATGTAACTAATTTCCTTTCTCAACAAGAGGATGTGTGGGGAAAAGTCATTCTCTAATCTTATTTCACACACTTCTGCCTCCCACATATAGTAAGAAACTAAATCATCATGATTCACTCTGCTTCAGAGACATAATTCAGGATTTATGTAATAACTGATGTCTGCTTATCCTTCCTGCCTTTTTTTTTCCTTCTCCTGTTGTTACTTTATAAATTTAAGCTTTATAAATTCCATGTTGGTTCCATTTTAAGCCTTCAGACATCTCTTGTTACTTAACAATATTTTAAAATCAAAATATCCTGATGCCTATATTCCTTTCCTATGCTTCTTATGAACATAATGGAAGTGGACTGCTTTGTGTGTTCTACCCTATCCCTGTCTTCAGGTTTGGCTCAGTTGCCTTCTCCTATTTAAAGTCTATTAAACAGACCTTAACTATATACTGAAGCTGAAGCTCAAATACTTTGGCCACCAAATGAGAAGAGAGGACTTACTGGAAAAGATCCTGTTAGGAAAGTTTGAAGACAAACGGAAAAGGGGATGGAGGAGAATGAGATGGTTAGATAATGTCTTTGGTGTGGTGAGTTTGGGCAGACTCAGGAGACAGTGGAAGAGGGGGGGAGTGGGGAACTGGGTTGCTATGGTCCATGGGGTCTCAAAGAATTAGACATGACATAAAGACTGAACAACCACCACCAAAAAGTGTTCTGTATATTATTTAGAATATGGGCTTCCCCATCTTGGTGGGTTCCTCCTTGGTGCCTCCTCCTGACTACAGATTAGATGCTGTAGTCATCTAATCTGGGAGAACAGGGAGAACCTATACTAGAGATCTAAGTTCCTTATAACTTCTGTGTTTTATGGGAAGTGAGCTGGGCACAGCATTTGCAGTTTCCTTCTTTGGTCATAAAAATTAAAAAATCTGTTTTTTTGCTAGGAGACTGAAGTGGCTCCCCAATGCATATTTAGTGTTGAGTTCAAAGAACCAATTTAGGTTTCTTTGCAGAACTGGGATAATTTTCATGGCTGTAGAGCAAGGCAGTGTTCTGAAATTTTAGAGCTGATTTGACTTACTGCATATCTGTCCTTCATCTTCTCCATCTGCACAATCTTTGATGAAGTCACACACCCGTCTCAGCTTGATCACTGTTCCATTCCAGCAGCTGAAATAACTCTGAAGAGCCATTTTAGAGACAGATGGAGGTCCTATGAAAAAGGAAGAAGAATATTATTTAAATCTCTTCATCAGAGTTTGTACAGTATACTTAGCTAGCTTTCATTCTCCACCAAAGGATCATAATCATCACAACTCAAAGGCAACTATTCCACTAAGGATCACAAAGCTTGACTACTGGTTGATACAGAGTGATTCACAGTTGAAACGTCTCTCACTGTATTCATGATATGAGATTAATTTTTTTTGCTTCACATTTCCATGGGAATAATCTAGGTATCTTTCCTTTCCTTTCCTTTCCTTTCCTTTCCTTTCCTTTCCTTTCCTTTCCTTTCCTTTCCTTTCCTTTCCTTTCCTTTCCTTTCCTTTCCCTTTTTCTTCCCTTCCCTCCCCTTCCCTTTGCTTTTTCCCTCATAGCAAAAATGAAATAAATTCTACTCCAGCACTCCCTGAATCTGGGGTGTGAACGTGTGTGGCTAGGGAAATCAGCTCCATCTCCTTTGAGAGCCAGATCAATCTTACAAAATAAAACAGAATCAAATTTTATTAAAAAGAAAAGAGGAAAAATGTAGTTCCTTTTTAGCTTTAAGTATCCCTTCAGTGTCAAGGGAAGTAAAAAGTATTATTTTTTTTAAATCAGAAATCTGAGCCTCTGAGCAGATGCATTATATTATTGATTGCCCCCTAACTTAAAGGAACTCTGCTAAAGAGGTTCCAAGATGCATAAAAATACCACAATTTACTGAGCATGTACAGAAAACATAAATACCAGAGACACAATGCATAAATATTACGTACCAGAAGCACAGAATAAATTAAATTTAGCACATTTCTTAGGTAAATTTTCCCTATTTCTCTAAAGACCAAACTAGCCTTGGAACAGATGTTATTTCTCTGTTAATTTGTTACCTAGAAAATCCTGTTTCCTACAAATACCAATTTAAATCTGAGACTGAAGGGAAATGGCAAATCCCATTCTTTCCAACCTCTTATTCAACATCTGCCTGATTTTAAATACAGAAAACCTTTTGCTCTACAATAAAGGAAGGCTTTGGGAGAATTGCCTTGTGGCCCCTACGTGCTCCTGCTTGAAGCTAAGAAAAGATGCTGATCTGAACATCTTGAAAGAGCAGCTTGCTTTCTGGAATATTTTCAAGGCAAGATGGCTTCACAACACTAATAGATTTGCCTTTGAAAGTTAAAGAGCCATCTTATTGAACTTATTTCCTAAATAATTTTGTTAAATTGAAATCTACCTGATTAGAGACTTTCTCATTTTCCCCTTGTACGAGGTTTTTTTCTGTTGACATTTAGTCAGCCTGGCTTTCCAATCCCCCTGTATTTTTTCCTCCTTTTCTCCTGCTAAATTCTTGACTCTCAAAAACAAAGGCATGTGTGTGCACTAATATTCCCATCTTCACTTAACCAAAATTGTCTCACTGAGACAATGGAAAAGGGAAAGGCATTGTCTCACTGAGACAATGGAAAGGTTTTATGGCATTGGAGTTGCCTTCTTCCTTAAAACCTGTGGTGTATATGAGATTTTACTGTTGGGTCTCAAAGTTACTGGCAACAAAGCAAACCTCGTGGTTTACAGATGGTCAAAAATTTTGAAAGATGAAGCGGGGGAAGAAACAACTCCAAACAAACAAACAAACTTCCCTTTCATATTGACTGGGTATTTACGAACTGCACTCTAGACAAGTCCCCATTTTTACCTAACTTTGGGAAATGCATATCCTGCAATGTATATATATTTTTTCTCTTGAGACGTCTTGCTGTTGCCCTTAGGACTTTCTCCACCATGGGGAAAAGGTTAACTAAACTGTTGTCAGAATGGTAGCTTTCCTTTTATTTTTATAGCATCCAATGTTGGCCTCAAGGCAAGTAAAGGCTGTGAGGCTTTGTTCCTTGGTGGAAAGACATGTAATAGAAGTGATGTGGAATAGAGACCAGACAGAGATTAACAATGATGATACTGATTTCATGGAGGCATCATTTTCTACTGACTCAAGAATGGATGCATAGGATTTCAGATTAGCAATGAAAAAAGCCCAAACAGTTTAAGAGAAAAAGCTGATATTACTGAGATCAAACACATAAACAGGGAAGGAACCTAACATGTTCATTCCATAGGTAAAATTTATTTCTCAGCTTGATTACATTTGTATAAAGTAGAAAACTCTCATTGGTACCACTGTCATTGATTTGTAGATTTGTATTCTGTTTCCCCTCCAAAACTCAAGAAGGAACATCATTACCAGAGGTGGGTTTCAGCAGGTTCTGACCAGTTCTGGAGAACCGGTAGTGGAAATTTTGCATAGTTCAGAGAACCGGTAAATGCCACCTCTGTCTCACCCCTCCACCATCTATTCTTTACCTCCCCAGCTGAATAGGAGGAAATGGGGATTATGCAGTAACCTTCCCCTGGAGTGAGGTGGAAATGGAGATTTTACACTATCCTCCCCCTGCCATGCCCAAGCCACACCCACCAAGCCATGCCACGCCCACCAAGCCACACCCACAGAACTGGTAGTAAAAATTTTTTGAAACCCACCACTGATCATTACATATTTGTTGTTGTAAAACAGTTGCACATTCAGATCATAGTTAAATCAGTAGGGATAAATGTTATTTCTGTGAACCTGTCTGACTCTGATAGTAGATAAGGTTTCAATTCTTGATTGTCAATTTCCTTTTGCTGATTGATTTATTGATTATCTGCCAGCAGGCCTGGGGAACCCAGAGTGGGAGGGAGCCCATTAAATGGCTCATGTCATCTGCTGTTGCTGGGGCGGGGGTGTGATTTTTATTATATTATACTATATTAATTTATTTGATTCTTTTTTATTTGTTGTATTGTTTTAAATGTGGTTTTATATTCTGTAAGCTGCCTTGAGTTGCCATGGGTGAATAGGCAGCTATATAAATTCAATTAAATAAATAAGTAAGTAAGTAAGTAAGTAAGTAAGTAAGTAAGTAAGTAAGTAAGTCTCATTTTCCACTCCCAATCTTCCTATTTTGCTTGACGTTGACATGGAGAATGAACAATGGAGAAATGCCACCATCATGATTTATGCTTCATGTCTTTTATTTTCCCTTGCTTTGTGAGAGTTCAGTCACCTGGAAGAGTCTGCAACACATGTTTTGATAGCCTGGTTTGTGTAGATCAGGGACAAGCAATGTCATGCCATCCAGATATTTTGAATTTCAGCTTAATTAGCCTGGCACAACTAACCAACTTTGGCTGATGCTGAAAAAGGAGCAGGGCCAAAGCTAGAGAATGTTTTGGCTGTGGGCTAGACTGGGAACTTCGGGTAAAAATACAGAAGGCAAACTGCTTCCAAATTGTCGCCGTGTTCATGAAATCATCAGGACTGAAGGGAAACTTTCCCATTTGTCCTCCCCACTGGCTATGTCAAGAATAAAGGACTATGGAGCTATAGCCCACAACATCTGGAGGATACTGGGTTATTCATTCTAGTACAATTGACTGATAACTGATGGCTGCTGGTCTTGCCTCACAAAAAGCAGTTTGGATGTGCTCTACGAATCAGTGCCCTTTCCCAGATATTCAGTTAAGAGTTAGCTGTTTTAACTTTTTCCGCTTGTTGCAATAATCAGGGGGATAAGGGGGATGTGTTTTGCTCTTGAACTTGACAGTTTGATTATGCATTTCTTTCCCGCTGTCATAATACTTGCATTATGAAGGGAACTCATTCTTTTAGAAAATAAGCGTGTTTTCTTTCCTTGTTAATTTGGATGAATTGAATTCAGACCACAATGTAGTAGCGACTCTTTATGTTAGTTGCTTAAGAACTTTTGAAACTAATAGCACTGCAAAATAAAATAAAACAAAAACTGGAAATGTCAAAAGTGAACTATGGATTCTGTGGAGGTATAAAAGTAAAAACTGTCCAATAATTTTTATAGCTTTAATTTTACTTGTTTATTCCAGCTTTTTCTCTCTGTGTAGTTATGATCTCTCAGAAGACAGCAAATAAAATCTGGAATTTTTGATAGATTTAGTCTAGCTCTTCTCCAAAGCTTTAGCACATTACTGCAAGTGCTTGGTTTTCAGAAAACTAAAAGAAATGCAACCTTTCTGATTGTTGTAAACAGCACAGAACAGAGCAAAGGCAAATGATAAAATTATCTCTTGAAATGGTATAGACTATGAGATATGAGTTCACATCTGCATGCTCATCCCTCCATTTGTCTACCTTTAATTATTTTATTGCTGAGTTCTTTTTATGTTAGAATGAGCTATCATTTCTCTCTCGTATGACAGAAAGGTATTCTCTAATAGAGTAGATATCAAGGGTCAGGAGGGGTCATTTAATGTGCAGACTAAACAACTCTTCCACCTATGTAATGCAATTGAAGCTCAGAATGTCTGAACAGTCATTTTTTTTTTAATAAAAAAGTTTTTATTTTCTAATCAAACAAGTATACAATATAAACAATCATTCATACTATCATCAGAAAAAAAAAATCAATTTGGTAAACTCAATCTTCATCCCCTCCTTACCACCCCCCACCCCCGACTTCCCAGAACAAAAACAGGGCATAGATTTCACCAAACATTCGCTAAAATAAACTAGCTAACTACAAGATTTGATAACTCCCAAGACCCCTTAACTCCCCTTTTACAATTTCATCAACCTCCCTTTATATAAACACAAAGTAACATGTAATCCAATAACTCTAAGAATTTTAAAACCATTAACAAATCTTAAACATTCAAACCTAAAAACATTTTTCCCCCTCCTATTTTTCTCAAAGTTCAGATATTTTGAAATCTCATAACAAAAAATAAACCTTAGATATTCACTAATTAAATTTCTACATTTTTATAATTAACCATTAGTACATTAACTAGAAAACCAAAAAAGATTAATCAACCATTAATACATCATATTTAAAGATCAATATTCAACTTTATACTTTTTCCCCCTCAATAGTTATAACACCTAAAACATAATCAATTTAAACCATGAATAGAACAACTGCAAAGCCAAAAAAAAAAAAA